GACGTGCTCCTGCCAGTTATTGGCACTCTGAGGCCTCGACCACGAAGTCCCCATTGTGCTAGGTGCTAGACAGACCCTGTGTTAAAAAGTTCACAGTCACAAGTGTGAGGGAATCCTTGCACAGAGCCCCATTGATGTCAGTAACTTCAGTGAGCCCTGCATGGGTGCAGATGTCTGCCCATGAGCGTTGCATTGCAGTCTTGAGGCCTTGAAATGGCTATTAAACTGTCATTGGTGAGCCTGGTGATGGTGCCATCAGGAAGGGTCCACAAGACCTGGGTTCAAAGCCCTGCTCTACCACAGACTTCCTGTGTGAGTTTAGACAGGTCACTTGGCCTCCTCAGTTCCCTATCTGTACAGTGGTGCTAATAGGGCTGCCCTGCCTCCCAGGGGGTTGTGAAGATAACTACAGTAGACTGGCAGATGCTCAGATACTCTGGTCATGATGGTCAGATAAGTACCTTAAATAGATATTGCATTATTATTCTTTTATTGCCAGTATCAATGGGGTGAGAAAGAGACCAACTGGGTCTTCCTGGAGTAAGCCAAAGCCAATGACTGCTGTTTCCACCACAAGGTAAGAGGAGTGGTACTGATGGTGCTCACATGGGAAACCTGTCTGTCCCTTTACCCTACCCTGGTGTGTGTTGCCCCTTGAACTTATTTGAAAGGTAAAGTGAAGCAGTCTTGCCAAGCACAGTCCCTCTGTGCAGGAGGCACTTTCACCATATTAGGGGAGGGAGCATTAAATATGGTAATCTGCTGTCTTCTGGAATACACAGCTGCAAAAAAATTCAGCTGCAAGAATTCAGAGTCAAACTGGTCAAAAGCCCAAAAGGAGTTTAATGAAAAAAAATTTGTATTTGTCTTTGTTGCAAAGTGTTTGGAATGGAACCGTTTTCATTTTTTTCAAAAATGGTCACCATTTTTTTACATTCCCGATGTTTTTATCAAAAATGTTATCGAAATTGTTATTGACCGTTTTCAATGTAATTGAAAAACAAGCGCTTTGGTAAATGATATTTTTTAAAAAATGTTCTCAATTAAACACAGTTTTTTCTGCAAATAATGGAACATTTTGCCCACAACAGTTAAAAATGTTGGGGGGCCTGTTTTTTTGATGGGGAAAAAAACCTTTTTGATAACAAATTTTGACCAGCTTAGTCGTGAGCTAGTTTGCTCATTGAGCACATTTTTCTTTGCTGTCTTCGCAGCTTTGACACAGACAGTAAGAGCCAAGCCACCAGATCCTGGAGTGAAAGCACATCACAGATCTCCAGTTACACTGAAATCAGGTGCAGTGCATGAGTTCTAAGTTTCTCAAACCTCCTGGGTGGCCATAATATATGGTTGCTGAGACAAACCACCACTGGGGCTGTTTCTTCTTGGTGATGCTTACTTGTATCTGGGCCATGTGATTGTTTTCCTAGAATCATAGAAATGTAGGGCTGGAAGGGACCCTGAGAAGTCATCTAGCCCAGTCCCCTGCTGTGAGGCAGGACCAAGTAAACCTAGACTATCCCTGTTGGGTCCAATCTGTTCTTAAAAACCTCCAATGATGGGGATTCCACAACCTCCCTTAGAAGCCTATGAGCCCTGAGAGTTAGAAAGTTTTTCCTAATATCTAACCTATATCTCCCTTGCTGCAGATTAAACCCATTACTTCTTGTCCTACCTTCAGTGGTCATGGAGAAAACTGATCACAGTCCTCTTTATAACAGCCCTTATCTCAATACTAAACATGCTGAGTTGTTTTAACCTTTCCCTATAGATCAGGTTTTCTAAACATTTTATCTGTTTTGTTGCTGTCTCTGGACTCTCAACATTTGTCCACACCTTTCTTAAAGTGTTTCATCCAAAACTGGACCCAGTACTCCACCTGAGGCCTCACCCAGTGCTGAGTAGAGGGGGACAGTTACCGCCAATGTCTTACATACAACACTCTTGTGAATACACCCCAGAGTGATATTAGCCCTTTTTGCAGCTGCATCCCAACACTGACTAATGGATGCAGTGCAGTCATTGAACAGTCCCCACCATAGCACTGATGCTTCAGTGCTACAAATAAAGCTGAGGAGGCTTCTTCTATTTTATGACAGAGTTAACATTTAGATTGAAATTTGCCCTGTTTGGTGTCAGTCTCAGAAAGGGAAGATAGCTGCCAGCATCCAGCTTCCGGTTACCTGATTTTCAGAGGTTCTGAATCACAAGTCTGTGGGGACTGGCTGTTCAGCACCTCTGAACAGCACCCACTTTCTGACAGCTAGGGTATCAGCAGAGTAAAATGTAGAGCCTTATTTCCTGAGCTAAGCAATATTTCATTTTAACCCAGTCTCTGCACTGTATATATTACAACCCACCACATTTCCTCACCTCCCTGGCAGTAGCATTTCTCCTCTGTCCCCCAGCCCCAGCCCTAGCTAATTTTTATTGCATTTTGCCTGCCAAAATGGTGAAGACAGACAGACCGCAAATGGCAAGTCCTGGTCAGGTCACAGCATGGGAAGAGGTAATAAGTCACGAAGGACTGGCTGTGCTGCTTGACAGAGAGCATAAGCCTTCTTTTCATTCAGAAGAGTATTGGTCAGTGATTGCAGACAATCTGAGAGTCACGGTCACAGGCCAGTCTCCGAGCACATCACCTGCTGCCTGAGTTGTGCCTTATCATGTTTTCCACTGGTCCTTCCCTGCCCCAACAGAGTCTGCCATGTGTCCCAGTCCCCAAGGAACTCCTCTGTCCATTCCTTACTTTTCTTAGTGGGCTCCCAACTGCCCCCAGCAAGCTGTGCACCTGCCAATCACAATTTGAGTTTGAAGCACTGTGGCTCCCTCGAATGCTGCACCAGAGCCCGGGCACAAAAGTAGCTAAAAAGCCAGACAAAGAGCTTCCCAGGTAACGTCATGCACACACTCTAAACTCACATAATCACTGTGAAGTGTCGAGACCACTTGCAATGAACATCAGGAACACTTGAGCTCCATTTTGATTCCTGTGGGAAGAGGGGAAGTGATCCGATCCAGAAGAACAGTTTATTCAGTATTTCTGAAGTGTTCCTTGCACTGCTGCAGGGAGCAGACCTTCACTCCATGTGCACACATTTCTATCGGGGATGGAGTGTTCAGTGCAGCGCAGGGTGTCTTGGAAAGTAGGGGGACATTCACACTTTATCTTGTGTTTTATTAATTATTGTTTATTGTGATTATCAGTGACAAAGTGGATGAGGAGAAGCCTGTTGAGACTTCTCCAGCTGAAGCAACAACAACCAAACCCACTCTGGCTACGGGCAAAAGGTAGAGTTGCTGCGGAGTTTGTTACATGAAATAAGCCTGCATGCGAGCGGGTGCTCCCAACTCATATGTACTTTGCGTGGCAGGTGGTGCCACTTGCTATGCTATTGGCTTCACTAGCTCCACTGAAGAAGGGGTGGTTCCTCTCAGTATTGAGAAAGACTCTGTTCTGCCCAATGAGCAAGCAGTGAGGCACTTAGTTTGTTCTACCCAAGAGTAGATGGGGGCTGATATCCTTCCCATATTCAGATCTCCTCTGCCCCTAATCTCAGTTATACCCACCAGTCCAGCTGAGAAGGCTTGCTACCCATTTCTTTTATACAGACCTCCTCTGGCCTAGGTTATACTGTTTGTCTATTTCAGAGATCCTTCTGTCCTTTCCTCAGGTTCAGACTTCCATGGGTGGAAGAAACTCATTTGCTTACTATGTCCCATGTTAGTGGAGCTCTCTTCCCTCTCATGTTCACTGCTCAGAGTTTGTTTGCTATGTTTGGTTGGATCAGAACAGGCTTCAGACCTATTTATTTGGCCTTTCCTTTTAAATTCTGTCTTCCTTTGCTATATGGGACTTCAATAACTGTAGAGGGCTTGGATGTACCAAATGAATTTGTGGTAGCATGTCTGGTTAATTGCAACTTTCTTTCTATATTTAATCAGTGAAGAAAGAGTTATAAATGCGCCCAAGCCAATGCCTCAGAGTGAAATAAAATTGAGAGCCACCTCCTCTCCAGAGAAAAGGTAGAGTTCAGACGGTGTTGATGTTCCCTTAGTCAAGGTCCATGAATATATCCCTGTGTCTCATTATTGCAGCGAATGCATGATCCTAGAGCACTGGCCATGGTGGGAGTTATCTGACATGGCCACTCCTACCTGTGCAATCATTCAGTGTGTGAGATAGTCTCCCAAAAGACAGAAGGGATCACTGTTGCTTGAGCTAGGCAGGGCAAAGAGTGAAGAAAGATTACACTGTAGGGAACAATTGGCAGAGTGAGAAAATAGACACAGCAGCTGAACAGGTTCATGGTGGCTCTGATTTATATGATTAGCTTGAGCAGAGTGGGCTATCCTCCAGTATATTTCTGTTTTTTCCTATGCACCCCTGTATTATATTTCCATAAGTTATATTAGGCTACAGTACAAGTATTACATATCAAGTCTTACTTTTGGTTTTTTGTTACTAGTGACAAATCAGTTAAAGAGGAGCGTGACCTGATCTCCTGGGATGAATCGGTTCCAAAAGCCACCACCATTTCCACAGGGGAAAGGTAGAGTCCATATGAAACACCTTCCCTCCTCCTGCCGTGAAATGAGGGTTGTGCAGAGAGTGAAATAGATGCTGTCTGTCTCTGCCTGTTAGGTGTTCCCTTTAGCTGTCCTTGTGCCTGCAGTGCAAGAGCCCTCTGATGAAAGGTTAGTATAGTAAATCAGGCTTAGTCCAGGAGACAGGCAGTAAAAGGCGCTGTAACCAGGTGTCACTGAGTCACTGGGCCAGTGCTCTGGAACTACTGCATATGAAGCCAGTCAGGACTCTGGTGTGGCATGCCTTCTCTCTCTGAGCATACTGTTTCCAGGGCAAGAAGGGTACACAGCTTCGACCTTCCTGGGTCTGACCCCAGAGCATTCAGCATCCCCTTTCACACCATGCATTTCCCACAGTGAGTCCACCCGTGCGGGACTCCTGGGGAAGCCAGCGGGCCCTGCACCCCAACTCCACAGTCAGAACTGACTCTCAGCCAGCCAGTAAAATAGAACGTTTATTATTCGACAGGAACACAGCGTAGAAATCAGTGACTTCTCCCCCTCTTCCAGTCCAACACAGCAGACTGCCAGCTTCCCCCTCTTCCAGTCCAACACAGCAGACTGCCAGCTTCCAGCCATCCGACCTCAGACAGCCCCATTGCTCCTCCTCCTTCTTTTTGGTCTCACTTCCTGGGTAGAGTCACCTGGTTGTCACCTGGTTGCATCCCCCTCCTGGGTCTCAGGTTATGAAGGGCACCGGTCATAGTATAGGTGCAGGCAGCTAGAGCAGCCTCACCTGCCCGAGAGGTCCTAGCCAAAGTCACACACTCCTATTCCCACTACCGAGGTATTGGTGCAGCACACAGGGAAACTGAGGCACACACAGTATACATGCAAAACAGTAAAACTCACATAGGCTCAACAGTAAAACTCACATGCAACATAACAAGGGAAAATCCCCACTTCATCACACCAGGAAAATGGGGCAGCCTGATGTGAAGGTAGCATAGCAAGTGGCTAAATGTCTCTTCTACCCCTGGAGCACATTCTTTTCAGAAGTAGCTGTTGTGGGTGTTCTCCCCACATCTCTAATGAAAGCTGCCTACCACTGCCCTCTTTACCTTCAGCATAAGATCAGTGATGTAGCACTCATTTATATAGCTCATTTCATCTAGCAGGATCTCAAATCAGGTTTGACTGTTGACCTGATTCACGTGTGCTGGAGAAAGAGAGGAGAGGAAAATGCAAATTGAAGCCCCTGCAATAGTGTTACCTTGAGAATTCACCCTGAGGGAGGACAGTGGTGTTTAAGACATTGCATGCCCTAGAAGTTTCCCCTCTTCCTTTTCCTCTCTCTCTGCCCTCCCCTGATTCCCCCTTTCACCTCAGAAGACTACTCATTTGTATAGTTTCCACCTTTAGGAGAAATAGCTGCCAGCTCCAGCTCTCAGCAGCCTACTAGACCAGAGCAGCAACCTCCTTTCTCCAGGCCTGGCAGCTACAACACTCTTGAAGGGGGTAGACATCTCCTCTCAGCACAGCAAAGGGGATTAACCCCTTTCTTGCTCAGCCAGAGATGGGGCACATATACTCCATCACACTTCCCTCCTTGCCTAAAGGTTGTGTCTAGCTCAGGTGGGAGGCAGGTTGGTGATGCAGTGTGTGATGGAAGCTTGCAGTGAGACTTCCTGTGCTGTGGATAAATTGATTGCCAAACCAGCCTCTTTCACCAGCTGCAAAGTCATAGAATCATAGAAGATTAGGGTTGGAAGAGACCTCAGGGGGTCATCTAGTCCAACCCCCTGCTCAAAGCAGGACCAACATCAACTAAATCATCCCAGCCAAGGCTTTGTCAAGCCGGGCCTTAAAAACCTCTAAGGATGGAGATTCCACTACCTCCCTAGGTAATCCATTCCAGTGCTTCACCATCCTCCTAGTCAAATAGTGTTTCCTAATATCCAGCCTAGACCTCCCCCACTGTAACTTGAGACCATTGCTCCTTGTTCTGTCATTTGCCACCACTGAGAACAGCCGAGCTCCATCCTCTTTGGGACCCCCCTTCAGGTAGTTGAAGGCTGCTATCAAATCCCCCCTCACTCTTCTCTTCTGCAGACTAAACAAGCCCAGTTCCCTCAGCCTCTCCTCGGTAGTCATGTACCCCAGCCTCCTAATCATTTTTGTTGCCCTCCGCTGGACTCTCTCCAATTTGTCCACATCCTTCCTGAAGTTGGTGACCCCAAACTGGATGTAATACTCCATATATGACCTCACCAGTGCCGAATAGAATAGAGGGAAATAATCACTTCCCTAGATCTGCTGCAATGCTCCTACTAATGCAGCCAATATGCCATTGGCCTTCTTGGCAACAAGGGCAGGCACACTGTTGACTTATATCCAGTTTCTTGGCCACTGTAATTCACAGGTCCTTTTCTGCAGAACTGCCACTTAGCCAGTTGGCCCCCAGCCGGTAGCAGTGCATGATATTCTTCAGTCCTAAGTGCAGGACTCTGCACTTGTCCTTGTTGAGCCTCATCAGCTTTCTTTTGGCCCAATCCTCCAATTTGTCTAGGTCACTCTGGACCTTATCCCTACCCTCCAGCATTTCTATCTCTCCCCCAAGCTTAGTGTAATCCACGCACTTGCTGAAGGTGCAATCCATCTCATCATCCAGATGTTAATGAAGAAGATGAATAAAAGCGGTCCCAGGACCGACCCCTGGGGCACTCCACTTGCTGGCAAAAATACTGTGGGAGACCGTATCAAAAGCTTTGCTAAAGTCAAGGTATATCATGTTCACTGCTTTCCCCATATCCACAGTGTCAGTTATCTCATCATAGAATGCAATCAGGTTGGTCAGGCATGACTTGCCCTTGGTGAATACATGTTGACTGTTCGTGGTCACCTTCCTCTCCTCCAAGTGCTTCAAAATGGATTCCTTGAGGTCTCACTCCATGATTTTTCTGGGGACTGAGGTGAGGCTGATCAGTCTGTAGTTCCCTGGATTCTCCTTCTTCCCTTTTCAAACATGGGCACTATATATGCCTTTTTCCAATTGTCCGGGACCTCCCTCGATTGCCATGAGTTTTCAGAGATAATGGCCAATGGCTCTGCAATCACATCAGTCAACTCCTTCAGCATCCTTGGTTGCATTGCATTCATCCCCATGGACTTGTGCATATCCAGCTTTTCTAAATAGTCCTTCACCTTTTGTTTCACTACTGAGGGCTGCTCACCTCCTCCTCATCCTGTGCTGCCCAGTGCAGCTGTCTGGGAGCTGACCTTGTCTGTGAAGATCGAGGCAAAAAAAGCATTGAGTACGTCAGCTTTTTCCACACCATCTGTCACTATGTTGCCTCCCCCATTCAGTAAGGATCCCATGCTTTCCCTGACCACCTTCTTGTTGCTAACATACCTGTAGAAACCCTTCTTGTTACCCTTCACGTCCCTTGCTAGCTGCAACTCCAGTTGTGCCTTGGCCTTCCTGATTACACCCCTGCACACTCTAGCAATATTTTTATACTCCTCTCTAGTCATCTGTCCACATTTCCACTTCTTGTAAGCTTCCTTTTTGAGTTTAAGCTCACCAAAGATTTCACTGTTACGGTTGCCTGCCAAATTTGCTCTTCTTGCTGCACTTCGGGATGGATTGTTCCTGCGCCCTCAATAAGGCTTTTTTAAAATACAGCCAGCTCTCCTGGACTCCTTGCCCTGTTCATATTAGCCTCCCAGGGGATCTTGCCCATCAGTTCCCTAAGGGAGTCTAAGTCTGCTTTTCTGAAGTCTAGGATCCTTATTTATCTACTCTCCTTTCTTCCTTTTTTCAGGATCCTGAACTCAACCATCTCATGGTCACTGCTTCCTAAGTTGCCACCCACTTTTACTTCCCCTACCAATTCTTCCCTGTTCGTAAGTAGCAGGTCAAGAGGAGCACGGCCCCTAGTCGGTTCCTCCAGCACTTGTACCAGGAAGTTGTCCCCAACACTCTCCAAAAACTTCCTGGATTGTCTGTGCACTGTGGTATTGCTCTCCCAGCAGATGTCAGGGTGATTGAAGTCCCCCATGAGAACAAGGGCCTGTCATCCTGAGATTTCGGTAAGCTGTCCGAAGAAAGTCTTGTCTACCTCATTTGTCTGATCCGGTGGTTGATAGCACACGCCCACCACAACATCACCCTTGTTGCTCTCGCCTCTAAACTTAACCCAAAGACTCTCAACAGGCTTTTCTCCTTGTAACAACTTTTTATGTATTTGAAAACTGTTATCATGTCCCCTCTTACTCTTCTCTTCTCCAGAATAAACAAACCCAATTTTTTCAATCTTCTGTCAGAGGTCATGTTTTCTAGACTTTTAATCATTTTTGTTGCTCTTCTCTGGACTTTCTCCAAGTTGTCCACATCTTTCTTGAAATGTGGCACCCAGAACTGGACACAATACTACAGTTGAGGCCTAATCTACAAAGAGTAGAGTGGAAGAATTACTTCTCATGTCTTGTTTACAACACTCCTGCTAATACATCCCAGAATGATATTCGCTTTTTTTGCAGCAGCGTTACACTGTTGACTCATATTTAGCTTGTGATCCCCCAGATCCCTTTCTGCAGTACTCCTTCCTAGGTAGTCATTTCCCATTTTGTATGTGTGCAACATACTAAATGGAGTACTTTGCATTTATACTTATTGAATTTCATCCTATTTTCTTCAGACCATTTCTAGTGTTTCACACAGTGCAACCTTGTTGGTCTAGACAGTAATTCCACTGAATGCCCTTTATGAAGCACTTTAACAACACATATGAGCGAGTGAAGCAAACCTGGATTTGTGCTGGAAATGGCCCACCTGTTGATCACTTTAGATAAGCTATTACCAGCAGGACAGTGGGGTGGGAGGAGGTATTGTTTCATATTCTCTGTGTGTATATAAAGTCTGCTGCAGTTTCCACGGTAAACATCTGATGAAGTGAGCTGTAGCTCACGAAAGCTCATGCTCAAATAAATTGGTTAGTCTCTAAGGTGCCACAAGTACTCCTTTTCTTTTTGCGAATACAGACTAACACGGCTGTTCCTCTGAAAGCAGTTTAATGACTCTCCTCCTCTGGCAGGTCCAGCCCCCGATCTAGAGACATTCCCGCACAAACCACTGATGACAGATTCACAGCCCCTGGATATCTGGGTGATGCAGAATGTGACCCTAAAAGATACGTGGGTGTTGCATTTAGTGGGGTTATCCAGGAAATCTGAGGACAAAGGGAAATCTAAAGGCCACTCCTCTCGGAAGGTACTCTTATTATAGCCATCAGCCCTGGAGTGTGAAATGATGAAAAGGACTGTGCAGAAGAGTGTAGATACCCCAGCTTGCAGGACGTAGGGTGAGCCCAAGGTGTATTTCACCTCAGCCTTTCCTGACAAGATTTGAACACTTGAGCTCTATTCTCTCGTCAATGCCATGTGCTCCGAGGGATTAGAACCGTTAGTTCTTAGCCAGTGTATATCCTAGTCACCATAAGATGCTGCAGAGGCAACAGAGGTGTTGAAGGACAACTGAAATATATAGACAGGTTTCAGAGTAGCAGCCGTGTTAGTCTGTATCCGCAAAAAGAAAAGGAGTACTTGTGGCACCTTAGAGACTAACAAATTTATTTGAGCATATGCATGCATCCGATGAAGTGAGCTGTAGCTCACGAAAGCTTATGCTCAAATAAATTTGTTAGTCTCTAACGTGCCACAAGTACTCCTTTTCTTTTTGAAATATATAGAATGTCAGTGTCAGTAGGTTGGCACATTGAAATGCAATTGGGGCCCATGAAACAATCCCCACAGAAAGAGCCTTTGAACAATTGAACAGAGTCTTTCCTTTTTCTCAGCAAATAGAAGAGGTTTACATGTTGATTCAGGTGCCAGCGATGGGCTTTTCCTTCCTTACCAGATCTGTCCCAGGCTATGAGGAGGGACGCCCCACAAAAGAGGTCAGATATGAGAGTACCACAGCCACAAAGCACAAAGAGCCTGAACTGAATGTGACAAGGTAAGGCGTTAGGGGACACAACCATCATATTGCTCTGATGATGAATTCCTGAGCTATGTTCCGTTCCCCTTTTGTCTAAGGCTTTGGAAGTGCCTGTTGCTCACTAACCTCTAAGCGTCAAGCAGCTGCAGAACATCACAATTTGAAATTACCATGCCAGGTGCCAATTCCATCTATTCCCTGCAGGGGCCTCTGGCACTGCTGCACCTTGGTCCCTCCTTTTCTCTGCCTGTAGCACACAGTAGTTTGCTCTAATTCTGGATGTGCAGGTGCTATGTGGTGCTGGTGGCTTGTGACATACATGAGGTCAGACTAGATGATCTGCTGGTCCCTTCTGGCCTTAAACTTTATTACTTTACAATGTTCAGGGCAATTAGGCCAAACAATTCCAAACTCGCTGACAAGGGGTTTAATTTGAGTAATTAATATTCAGATGATATTCACTGAAAATCAAATCTCAGTGAACTGATCTAATATAGCCCAAGCTTCTTCCAATGTTCCCAAGATCTATCCATTGCATGTGTGTCTTCATGGGTACAATCCAGCCCTCAGAAATGCATGCAGGACTCTCACTGACTTCTGTAGACTTTGCACTTGTGTATAGTTGGGTGGAATAGAGCCTGTGCTAAGGGTCTTCTAACTCCAGCATAAAAGAGGCCAAGTAACAAAATAGTAATTTCTATAGCAAATCACACCCCTTAATTGTACATGAGTGAACTTAGCCTCACAACCCCCTCTCTTAGATAAGTAAATATGATTATCCCATGTTACAGATGAAGAAACAGAGGCAGAGCAACTAAAAGAGTCTTGCCAAAGGACAGACAGTGAATCAGTGGCAGAGCTATTAGAGGTGCATGTCTTCTCAGTCCCAACATTGTGCCTTAATCATAAGACCTCATCCTTTCTTTCCAGTCTGACCCTGGGTGTTGACTTGATGTGCAGGTGCTGACCCTGGGTCAGACTCCATTGGCTATTGGTCTTCGCTTACAACTGTCAAGCCACTATTGCTGGGAGGAAAACTCATAGAATGCTGTACATCCCAGATTAATGGGTAGTGCGAAGAGGGGTTTAGCAAAAGGAGTTCTGTAGTCCACGTTTATTTTGCTTTGTCTATACTTCCCACACATTGCCATGTTCTGGAACAGATATTTCATAAAGGATCTAGCCATTTCAGAATCTAATTCCATGAGCCAATCTCCAAGGCCCTTTGCACACTGGAATGACCCTCCTTCTTTGGTAGGTCCAGCCCTTCATCTGGAGTCAGCAGCGCTGTTACCCAAGAGGTCCGACACAAAGTTCCCATGCACCTGGATGATGAAGAATTTGACTTCAACAGGTGAGGGGGAGATGTGTGTTTTTTTTCGAGTGCTGTCCCTGTGGGTGCTCCACTTTAGGTGTTTGTGAGCCCCTGCACTCGTAGTCGGAGACTTTTAGTAGCAGTGCCTGGTTGGGTCGACAGTGAACTGATGCTGTGCCACCAACCCCCACTCAGTTCCTTCTCTTCTGCCCTTGGCTACAAGTGGGAGCAATCAGCAGCACCTCTTACTTTGTAGTTAATTAGTTACAGTCAGTTACTTAGTTTCCTTATTAGCAGCTATTTAGTTTGTTTCCCTTTTCTTTTCTCCTTGGTTTAAAAAAAAACAATAAATCCTCACAGCCAGGAACTTCAGAAAAACAGCCATTATGAGAGTGAAAGCCCGCCCCCAATGGGAATGCCCGGTTTGCTGGGCTCTCAGCGCCTTGCCTCCAGGCTTGGAGCGCCTGTCCTTGACAGCCACCCTCGTGTGTTTGCTGCCTGCGTGTGAGTGCCTCCAGCGCAGGCACTAACAGTGCTACATTGCCTCAGGCTCACAGAAAGGCAGGGAGTGGAGAGATCTCTGGGACCTGTGTCAGGGCATGAGGCTTGGGACCCTCCCCCCTCACTTCACCGGTCACGGCTTCAGATCGGAGTGCCCCGCTGGGCCTCACTTGAGGAAGCACCTGGGTCCCTACTGCAGGAATAAAAAAAACAAAACAAAACAAAAAAACCCACATCGGATAATAATAGCACCGGCTGTGCTGTCAGCGCCAGGAGCTCGGGTGGCTGAGAGCTCCGGCACCGCTGCAGACAGAGACTTCGGGGAACGGCTCCGGCACGGGCACTGAGAGGAGGTTGGAGACCCGTGCCTCCACGCCACAGGCTACAGCCGCTCCGTGGGCAGCTATCCAGTTCCGGCACTGCCTGTGTTGTCAGCACTGGGAGCCAAGGTGGTGGAAAACCCCAGCACGCCGGCTCCACTGGCTATGTCTACACTACGAAATTAGGTCGAATTTATAGAAGTCGGTTTTGTAGAAAGCGTTTTTATACGGTCAATTGTGTGTCCTCACACAAATGCTCTAAGTGCATTTAGTTGGCATTTAGTCAGCGGAGTGCATCGAGGCAACTGTTGACTTCCGGAGCGTTGCACTGTGGGTAGCTATCCCACAGTTCCCGCAGTCTCCACCACCCATTTGAATTCTGGGTAGAAATCCCAATGCCTGATGGGGCAAAAACATTGTCACGGGTGGTTCTGGGTACATATCGTCAGGCCCCCGTCCCTCCCTCCCCCTCTGAAAGCAACGGCAGACAATCGTTTCGCGCCTTTTTTCCTGGGTTACCCATGGAGACGCCATACCATGGCAAGCATGAAGCCCGCTCAGCTCACTGTCACCGTATGTCTCCTGGGTACTGGCAGACGTGGTACTGCATTGCTACACAGCAGTCGCTCATTGCCTTTTGGCAGCAGATGGTGCAGTATGACTGGTAGCCATCGTTGCCGTACTCCAGGGTGCTCTTTTAGCCAACCTCGGTGAGGTTGGTCAGGGGCGCCTGGGCAAACATGGGAGTGACTCAGCCAGGTCATTTCCCTTTTAAGTTTTGTCTCATGGCGATTCAGTCCTGCCAGCAGCCCTACTGCACCGTCTTATCATAGAATATCAGGGTTGGAAGGGACCCCAGAAGGTCATCTAGTCCAACCCCCAATCTTCTAATGAGCAGCCAGGAGACGATGATGGCCAGCAGTCATACTGCACCATCTTCTGCTGAGCACCCAGGAGATGACGATGGTCAGCAGTCATACTGCACCGTCTACTGCCAGCAAGATGTATAAAGATAAATGAAGTGGATCAAAACAAGAAATAGACCAGATTTGGTTTTGTATTCATTTTCTCCTCCCTCCCTCTGTGAAATCAACGACCTGCTAAACCCAGGGTTTTGAGTTCTATCCTTGAGGGGGCCATTCTGTTTCTCCTTGATGCAAAGTCACCCCCTTTGTTGATTTTAATTCCCTGTAAGTCAACCCTGTAAGCCATGTTGTCAGTCACCCCTCCCTCCGTCAGAGCAATGGCAGAAAATTGTTTCGTGCCTTTTTTCAGCACAGATGCTATAGCACTGGGGACATGGAGCCTGCTCAGATCACCGCGGCTATTATAAGCACTGCACGCGTTAGCCAACAGGGTATGCAGAACCATAACCTGCAAGAAAAGTGAAACCAGGCGAGGAGGAGGCTACTGCAGCGCGGTGACGAGACTGATGGGGACATAGACATAGACTTCTCCCAAAGTATGGGCCCCTGCAATGTGCACATCATGGTGTCAATTGGGCAGGTTCATGGCATGGAACGCAGATTCTGGGCCCTGGGAACAAGCACAGAGTGGTGGGACCGCATAGTGTTGCAGGTCTGGGACGATTCCCAGTGGCTGTGAAACTTTCGCACGCGTAAGGGCACTTTCATGGAATTTTGTGAATTGCTTTCCCCTGCCCTGAGGCGCAAGACTACCAAGATGAGAGCAGCCCTCACAGTTGAGAAGCGAATGGCGATAGCCCTGTGGAAGCTTGCAATGCCAGACAGTTACTGGTCAGTCGGGAATCAATTTGGAGTGGGCAAATCTACTGTGCTGTGATGCAGGTAGCCAACGCTATCACTGAGTTGCTGATATCAGGGTAGTGACTCTGGGAAATGTGCAGGTCATAGTGGATGGCTTTGCTGCAATGGGATTCCCTAACTGTGGTGGTGCGATAGACGGAACCCATATCCCTATCTTGGGACTGGAGCACCAGGGCAGCCAGTACATAAACTGCAAGGGGTACTTTTCAATGGTACTGCAAGCACTGGTGGATCACAAGCAACATTTTAACAACATCAACGTGGGATGGCTGGGAAAGGTACACTGATGATAGCAGAGTTTTGTGCATTTTGGAGCATTCAGTGATGGATAGAAACAAAAGGAGCACCATCTCTAAAGACTTTCCATGTAGATCCATAATCACACAAAACTCTGCTATCATCAGTGTGACTGCCAATCCCTCATGGTGATTTGCTCACATCCCACTAGAGCCTTACCAGCCTCCACGGCTTCCCTGCATAATGTACATATCTTGGACATTTGTAGAGTTGCTGCCTGGGTCTCAGCCCCTACCTCTAGACAGCACTGTGCCTTAGAGCAACAGGCACATCTGATACCTCCTTCAGATGCTCTCTATTATCGGAGGTCACAACTTCAACTCCAAAGCCCCTCCTTCCATCGGCGGGCACTGCTCTGAAGTCACCTAAAGTGGAGCACCCACAGGGACAGCTCTCGAAGAAGAAGAGAAGGTTACTCACCCTGTGCAGTAACTGAGGTTCTTCATCATGAGTGTCCCTGTGGGTACTCCACTATCCTGCCTCCTTCCCTCTAATTCAGAGTTTTCTTATTAGTCTCTGCAGTAGAGAAGGAACTGAGGGGTTGGTTGCACAGTGTCAGTTAACTGCCTGCAGCAGCGCGAGGCAGGGACCACGCATGTGCGACCCAACCGGGCACTGCTACTAAAAGTCTCCGACTATGAGTGCAGGGGCTCACGAACACCTAAAGTGGAGCACCCACAGGGACACACATCTCGAAGAACCTCAGTTACCGCACAAGGTGAGTAACCTTCTCTTGTGTTGAGTGATATGATTTAGTTGGGGATTGGTCCTGCTTTGAGCAGGGGGTTGGACTAGATGACATCCTGAGGTCCCTTCCAACCCTGATAGTCTATGATTCTATATTAGACAAGGACTCTAAGGAAAATCTTGAGGATATTGCACTGGTAAGTCTTGAAAGTAGAATCGGGACTTTGATTTAGATTGTCAGGTACCCAGTCTTCATTTATGATTGTACAGCACTGAGCACACTGCCAATGCTCAATAGATAATCAAATATCATATAGTTTTGTGCAGACAATAATAGTGCTTTTTCTAGACAGTCAATATTAATGTGCAGTACTAAGAGGCCTTGACCAAGTGAGATTCCATATTTCATTCCCACTGCTTACACTTTTCCCACAGTACACTTTTCCTTGTGGAAAGGTATCACTTAAGAATGTGCTGTTTCAGATCGTAATGCCATTAGCCTATCTCTGGGGCTCTTCACGGTCTGCATTGACTTTCTTTCTTCAGCAAGTCCAGCTCTCATTCTACAGAAAGCAATGTTACTACCACTGACCCAAGACATGGAATCCCTGTGTGTATGGAGGATGGGGAATTGGACCCGGAAAGGTATGGGAAGTCTTGCATTTAGTGTTGTCACGCAAGAAATCTGAGGACAATGGGAAAAAATTGGGGCAGTCAGTATGTCAGGTTCCCGAGAGTGCAACCTGGAACTGGGGTACTGCTGAGCCCTTTCTCTTAACAGCCTGGGCTCCCTCTCACACTGTGATGCTGTGAGAAGCTGCAAACCTCTCCAGGTCCTGCACTTACACAGATATCCACAGGCAGGGATACACCCAGCTGAGTTACATGAATACTTCTCCTAGCCACTCATGAACAATAGAGAGGCTCCAGCCAATTCTTCCAGCTCCACAGCATAGGACCCCAGAACTGCACCATCTTGCCCTGGTCAGAAGCCTGACCAGTGTAAGTTTACTACCCCATCTGCTACTTTTACAAAGGAAAGTGGACATGCATCAGATTTTGCACACTGAGCAGATTCCCGAAGCACTTCAAGCAAAACACACTATTTTAGGTAAATATAAAACAGATTGATTAACTACAGAAAGATAGATTTTAAATTATTATAAGTAGTAAACATACAGATCAAAGTAAAATCTCAATCTGAGTTTTATAAACTAGACAGGATTTTAATCAAGCACCCTGATAGATAATACAAGTAGGTCACAGATCTTCCATACACAGGTTGGAAATCCCCTTCAACCTGGGACTACCTCCCCAGTTCAGTCTTTGTTCTCCAGGTGTGTTTCCACGTGTTGAGTTGTGGGGGGAGTGAGGCCAAAGGATGATGTCACTTCCCCTCCTTTATAGGTTCTTCCAGCTGGCTGGAAAGATCTTTTGCTATGATGTG